CCCACAGGTAACCTCAGGAGAAATACAGGCTGCTCTGGAAAAATACAGTGTTATTGTTTCAAGGAGCACAATACGACAATACTTGAACAAAAATGAGCTTCATGGTTGAGTTGCCAGAAAGAAGTCTTTACTATGCCAATGCCACAAAAAAGTTAGGTTACAATATGCCAAATAACACATTGACGTTCCTCAAAGCTTTTGGCATACTCTCATTTGGAGTGACGAGACCAAAATAGAGCTTTATGGTCACAACCAAAGGCATTATGTTTGGAGAGGGGTAAAGAAATCCTATAGCAAAAGAATAGTATCCCCCTGGGAAAGATGGTGGTGGCTCACTGATGTTTGCGGGGAGGGGGTGAGGGAGGTGAGCTCTAAAGGCACGAGGAATCTTGTGAAAATTGATGGCAAGATGAATGCAGTATGTTATCAGAAAATACTGGCAGACAATTTGCATTCTTCTGTGTCATTCTGCATTTAACTACATATTATATGACATCCAATAGTTTGTGGTTACCTAGGTAGAGAAATATTGTGGGTGATAGGTTAAGATCTAACTCCTGGCTACTTTCATCCACTTCAAAACGTAAGCGCTATATATTTACTTTGTTACTGATCTGATATATAATATCCATAAAGGTTGTGGGTTTCATATATGTACATGCAGTGAATATAGAGTATAAGTTTGTGTCTTCTATAGAGTATAAGGTTGTGTGTCGTGAGGGAGTACAGCATTGTTATCTACAACCGCTTTACCATTTAAAGTTGTCTATCATACTTTGCAAGGGATTTACAGTGAGGGAAAAAATTATTTGATCCCCTGCTGATTTTGAATGTTTGCCCACTGACAAAGAAATGATCAGTCTATAATTTTAATGGTAGGTATCTCTTAACAGTGAGACACAGAATAACAAAAAAAAGAATCCACAAAAACGCCTATCCAAAAAGTTATAAATTGATTTGCATGTCAATGTGGGAAATAAGTATTTGATCCCCTATCAATCAGCAAGATTTCTGGCTCCCAGGTGTCTTTTATACAGGTAACAAGCTGAGATTAGGAGCACTCTCTTAAAGGGAGTGCTCCTAATATCAGCTTGTTACCTGTATAAAAGACACGTGTCCACAGAAGCAATCAATCAATCAGATTCCAAACTCACCACAATGGACATGATCAAAGAGCTGTCCAGAGATATCAGGGACAAGATTGTAGATGTACACAAGGCTGGAATGGGCTAAAAACCATCACCAAGCAGCTTGGTGAGAAGGTCACAACAGTTGGTG